TGGGATTGACCATCACATTATAACTCCCCATGGCTGAAAGGGCGAGCATGTTTGGTGGGACAGGGATTCGAACCTGCGACCCTCAGATTGCGAGTCGAGTGCCCTAACCACCTGGCCATGCCGGGCCGAATATCCAGAAAGACAAGGTGTTTATACAAAAAATGTTGGGAACAGAGATATATTTAATTTATATTCATTCCATGTCTTGACACTTCTTCACTTTAAATCTAAATACAACAGCTCCATATCCTTCTTATTAGGTTTTTGTTTCATTCATGTCCAACTACAAAATACAACTAGCATTACTTAAAGGTTTTATCTATTTAAAACATATACCCTTTGCAAACATATAATACTCCACTTAATAATGCTGCGTATGTGTAAATATATCTTTTGGCTTTGGCTCATATGGCACAGCAGACACTTTGAAGGTTCAATCCCATTTGTATCCATTTTTATTTTTGCTGAACAATATTTCAGTAGTCAAATAATTTTAGTACATACATTGAATATATAATATGAAGTAAAAGTTTATCCCCTAGTAATATCAACTATAATAAAGAAACACACTGACAACTTAACCGATTTTCTAAAATACTTTTAGCTAGATAGTAGAGATAAGAAAAACATTTTAAAAGACATTTCCCATACTTTAGTAATTTGCTGAAAGATTCAATTTAATAATAATAATTAAAAAAAACCTACCACTCCAGGAAGGCATCCTTCAGCTTCAATGTTTGGACCATCAAATGGATTTTGTGGGGAACCTTCAGAGCTGTCTGAGCTAGAATCAGGAGATGATGGCATATTGGTGTTAGCCTGACTCAGTTTTGCTGAAAGGATCTGTAAGTAAAAGAATTCATAAGATTTGAGTATAGTAACCAAACTATAAACTATTATTATGCACCAACTGACTGTCATAAATCATTTAATCCATGTCATTATAAAATATAGGACGAATTTTCTAAATTATTTAACTTTATTTCCAACAATTTTTTTATACATACAACCCAAAGGAAATAAGTAATTCTTAAGCAAGTCATGCCATCACATAATTTACACATTAAAAAACCATCTAAATAGCTAAAACTATTGTTTTTATCTAGCCTGAGATCTAGCATAACATGATTCTCCATTATTGCCAACTCTTGGTGTATCTGAACTGTTATCGTACATGGAATACACAAAATCATGTTCTAACCTTGTTACTTTTTAACCAAAAGGAAAGAAACCTCTGAGTGATGCTTCCAGTGTCTCTAGTTTATATTTTCATCCCTGAACATAGCTTGAAGTTTGAATATACACATCTGTCTTAAACATACACTCATAAAATTCTAAGTTTCTGAATATGATTTATGAAATGTTTTTTAATACTGCCAACATAGAAACATAAGACAATCACCTAAGAAACTAGCGAGAAATTTTAACAATTAAAAATGAATATTTTTTCTGAGAAAAAGAATTTGAGAGCAGAGAAATTTGTTGATAAAGACAAGTCATTAGATCTCATTACATCTGAAATTACACTGTTGAAAACATGTTATCTTTCATTAATTCTATTATGTTCTGCAGCAAAGTCAGAATTTTAAATCATAATTGTAATTACTTGAGTAAGGAAGCACATTATGCTAATATATTATGTAGCAAGCAACGATTTATAAGAATAAGTTTTATTGATGGTGGAACATACTATATGTTTCGACAAAACATTGGTCTGTTTTCTTCAGGTACCTGTAGTATGTTCAATCATCAATAAAACTTTTCCTTATGCTTATAAATCATTGTTTGCCTACCTATTATAATAATTGTAATTACAATGAGAATGGCATTTAGAAAGATTTGTCTACTGCCACATTTAAAAAAAGTTTCTTTTTTTTATATTAATAATCTCATTGAGAAATAATGTCTTGTCTACAGAATGTAAGGATGAAACTGTGATGCAGGTAGACAGGTGAAATATTGTATTCATGAAGACAACTCATTAGAAGTTATGAAAGCTAAAATTATGCTGTTAAAAACATCTTTCATAGACTGTGTTATGCCCTGCAACAGAGTATGAATTTTAGATAATTGTAAGTACAGTAAACATAGCTTTGTGATATTTTGCAAAATACGTTTTAAGAACCACTACTGACACCACTGTTTTTTTTTTTTACATTACAACACTAATTCCAACTTTTAAGATTTAGCCTTATTGCAAAAATCTCTTCCTCAAAGAAACTTTCCAATGTAAGAGCAGAGTTCACATCAACATCTTACCAATTTGTCCCTTTGTGGAAGTTGTGAAAGTAGTCTCTTGTCATTAGCTGGGTCTTGTATCTCTCCATTTATAAAAAGTTCAACCTTCACATGGGGATTGTTACCCTTCACTCTGAAACATAAACAATTATGCCAACTTTAATACTGTACAAGATTTATAACTCAATACTAATAAAACAAACCTTGTTTTACTAATGAAGTAACTTAAAGGTTATAGCAAAAGAAAAAGTAATCCAGTGAAAATTAACTACTTAACAAGAATGTGTATCAAATACTTTATTTAAAAAACTTCAGAAAGTTCACCAACACTTTTTACATAAAATGACAAACTAGAATCAGAAGAAGCATTAAATTAATTATTACGTATAAATCTGTAAAATTATCAACAAGAAATATTGTCTTGTTTTTAAGCCTTCAGATGTAGGATTATAATTGATCATATGGGATAAAATAAACTTTTTTAAAAATGGAAGAATATTTACTATGTATAAAATTACTGTGTACTTTAAAGGTTGAAATCCAAAAATTAACAATAAATATTAGTCATTTTAGGTGAAAATTACAAACTTTTTCTTTTACTATAGGTTTGGTCTTAAGCAGATAATTCACTAGTTTATTGTCTTAACCTTTCCCAGACCAGGAAGATGTTACCAATATTCCTTGATTTTTCTTTCTCACAGTAGAATACTTAACAAAGTTAGATGAATTATAAGACTCTATATAATTAGTATTTAGTTTCTGCTTACAAAGTTTGTATAATTTGATTTGGTTTTTCTATAATTTTTGTAAAACATTTAAAATGTTATTTTTTTTTATAATTTAAATTATTTTTTCAAGTTGATTGATATTCATTAACATATTTATCTTGATACTTAGAATATGGCAATTACAGTAGTCCAACATGGCTATAAATCATAAAAAAACAAAGATTTATCAGTCATTTACAATCTGACCTTTCACAACAGCATCAGGTCAGGCTAGGTAACAATATTCTTGATCACAATCAATTTATTTTAATAAATATAGTTTATTTTCAATAAACTATCATTTCTTTATTTATATACATTATTTGAATACAATGAATGTAAAAATACTGTTCAATAAGTAAGGATTGCACCACATTTTGATTCACTGGCACATCTAATCCTAATAAGGCTTACCCAATGTTCGTCACAGAAGAAAGTTTCCTTAGCTATCAAAGAAACATAATTTAACAAGAAAACATTTTCAGGAATGAAAAAGAACACCCAAAGAAACTATTAAAAAATTCTTAGATCTGTGGTTTGTTTCTAAGTGTTCTAAACTTTCCACTACATTTCATTGTTTTACTCTTCAAGATCTAGATCTATTGGCTTTCCCACGAAGCCATAAATTACTTCTCACTCACTTTATTCACTTTACATTGACATAAATAGTTTATACCCTGCTCTATCCGATGATATTAGACTAGAATTAAGCTAGAATTAATGTTCCCAGGCATCATTAAGTTAAAAGATTTAAATTGCTATTGACCAGAAACTTTTATTAATTTAAAGAAATCCACTATAAAAAATTATTAGACTGCATTTTATTTTGCTCTACATTTGTTTGTTTGGTTTTAAGCACAAAGCTGCACAATGGAATCTCAATTTATAGTATTATAATCTGAGACAGAGAAAGGAAGCTTGTCCTATAATATTCAATAAAGTATCTTAGAATTTTTTATACATTTTAACTATAGATCAGCCATTATGACTAATACTTCAACATTTTTACACATTAAAGCAAGTTTATTCAACAGTGTCTTTCTATAGAATAGTTAAGTTTCAAGGATCATGGCTGTTGCTATACCAAACCTGAAAATATTTTAAAATTGAGGTGAAACATCCTTCCTTTGGCTTAGTGCAATATGTAAAGCCTATTAAAAAAAAGAGAGTAAAAACCAACCTCATTAAAATTTGTCGCCTCACTGAACCCAAAGTATCATTTGTGTGAGTCCAAACATCAAGATCATCTACATGATGTCCCTGGTTAGGAAACCTCACAGTCAGAACTACATGTTTTCCACGGTGTGCCCTGAGAAACACAAAATTCTTAAGCAAAGATGTCAATGATTACAATTGTTCTGTTCATATAAAAAAGGTTATAATAGTGCATAAGCAAATTAAAAAACTATCCAATTAAATTATCTTTACAAGATATAAGGAAAATAACTTAACTACAGCTACTGATGGTACTTACAGTAAAGGTTGTACCAATCAGATATCAATTGTCGATCATTGTCATGGTTAGAATCATATACAGTAACTTATTAACATCTAATTAGTAATAAAGAGTTAGGTGATCATATAGGCTACTAATTACAACTGATGAGTTATGTCACAAACACTATGAAATAACAGCTAGTAAATAAAATATACAACTATATATTAAAACATATTTTTCCAACTCACCTGGCCATAGGTAAAACAGTTCTCTCCTCATCATAATCACCATCACACTGGGCTATGTACTCATACAATACTTTCAAGACACGTATCATACGTGTGGTCTCCTGACGTTGCCTATTCAGACTATCTTTATCCCTTTCAAGAACAGATACAGTATCAAAGGCTGCTTTCAAGCGATCCATACATGACTGGATAAAATCTTCATGAATAGCTAGTTGGCTGGCCTGCAGCCTTGGACCCAAATTTGTATAGGTTTCTTTAAGAAGTTCTATTGCCCTGTTAGCAATTTCTTCCCCACTGCATAAAACCACCTAATATTTAAAAGAAAACAAATGAAAAGGTTTTTCATACCACTGTTAAGTTTTAGATTTAGTCAAACATAAATACTATTCAGAGAAAGCCACAGTTCTAACCAGTTGCATCTTTTATGATACAGTACAGTTCATGATATTTCAAAAGAAATTTCAAACAAATATTCAAACAATTTCTGGAGAATGATTTGGAATCTGAATATTATAGTGAAATATTGTCATAAGTACAATAAAAGCAAATTACTAGAAGAAATTAAATATTCATGAATTATTTCTTTTATAAAAGAAATTTTCCAAAAGGCCATTCAACAAACTAAATATGTCCAAACATATCTTTCCTCTTACCTTCCAGAGGTAGTCTAAACCTATTAGTTCTAAATCATCCATCAAAAGTGCCCTTCTCTTTGGTAGTAGTTTTTCTTCTTTGGAGTTAACTGCTTTAAAAAATCTATCAAAACATCTGAAACACAATAAAAAATTATATACATGTCTAAATATAAATTACAAAATGTGTATATGAATAGGAAAAATAGTATCGTCATATGTTTCTTTAGACTTGTAGCTTTTATACAATATAACAAATACGATCAGTAGATGCAGAAACTGTGTCAGTCAATTTAAATTCCAATACATTAACAATGAATAATGCATCTCTTACACGTTGTGACCACTTTCAAATATAATAATACTAGTTCAATACAAGTACTTGCATTATTCTGAATTGACAATCTACAAAAATAAAATAAAAATTTGTACTTATTCTTCATAGGAAAAATTACAACCAATTAATGTCATAACACAACATTTCAGTCCAATTTCTGTGAAATCTGACATCTCATACAAATTAAATATTTGTAGCTTAAATTCAATAAATATGACATATAAAAATTTTCCCAGCACTAAGAAGCACTACTATCTACTTTATAGTTCAAGAAGTCTGTTTTCACTACCACAAAATATCTCTCTCTAGTGGATCCTCCTAAAGATTAAACATATATCCAACTGGAAAAACAATTTGAGTTTGAAAACCATTTTAATTTTTCAGCTTAATGCCACAATAAGGGCTCAAATAAACCAACAGGCTGGTACAAAAATGAAAGTACATTAAATGCCACATATGGCATGGATACCTTTGTAACAGAAAAATGGTTGGTGTACTGTGGCTTAAAACAGTGGAAGGGGTGGCCCAGACCTCCATTTATTGCATTATTTTTTAAAGCCTACCATTGTCAGGTACCTTTGTTAGTGTAAAAGTTTTAAAGGCTTTCAAGATTTTCAAAAACTGAACAAGCAAGAATTTAAAAAGCAAACTCACTTCATCCCACTCTCAGTTAGAAGACTGGGGTCTAAATGAAGAATGTTGTTTTCAAAGAAATCTCTGTTGATTTCAGGATCAAGGTCAGGCTCTTCTCCCATTAACTGAAGTCCATGAAAACACATATTTATGTACAAGTTCGTTTTCCTCACACAAATTAGTCTTAATTAATACTTTAAAAAATAGCAATTTGGAGAGACAGGGAATTAGGGAAAATATTTTATAAAATGTCACTCACTCATATAACTTACTAAAACACCAAAAAAATAAAATAAAACATTTAATGCAATAATATTTTTAGATTTCCTTTAAAGTGAAATAAGTAAATGATAAAACTTTCACCTGGAAACTAGTGATATTGTTTTAAAATTAAACTTAAGTTTTTGTTATCAGTACATTAAGCCTTTCCTGACCATATGGAATGTTAATATTTACACTATATGTTCTGAGCAATCTCATTAGGAAGTCAATAATTCTGTGAACTACATATTAACTACTTAAAAGCAGACACTGCAGTATTTCTAATAAGTTCATTTTAATCATAATCTCCTGTTATGTACCAAAAGTCAGACAGGCAGTTCCAACAAAGCTCACTCTTATTATCAGATCTTAGAAATGTTGTATTCTGTACTTTACGATGGAATCATATTGGATCTACATCCAAAACATGAAATTTGTATTTAATTAAGCTGCTTTATATTGAACTAATTGTTTTAATGTTAATAAGTGAAATTTAAGTAAAATTTTCTTACTCAGACTATTACAGTAAAGTATTTGAATATAATTATATAATGCAAAAATGAAACTAACTTTTTTCCATTCTTCAGTAAAACTAAAATGTAAGTTTGAACTTATGGCATTGTAAAAAAAAAAATCAAGTTCCAAAGCCAAGGGCTATCTGATCTTCCTTTACCTTTGAAAACCACTTAAAACAAGCTTCTCTGTCATATGTGTAAACTGCATTCTCTGCTAGACAGTTCCAAATCTAAGTAGCACAATAAAAAAAAAAACTTATTCACAACTGAATAATGATTATACAGTATAGATAAAACATAAATCCCATTCCTAATATTCCAAAAATATGTCACATTCCTCAAGTAATTTACAAGTTTGATGCAGCTGAATCCTTTCTGAAGCAGGGGAATGTTATTGACATCCCATGGTTTTTTCTCCTCATGGCAGAAATACTTAACCAAACTGAATGAAACTTTATTTATTTCACATAAATATAGTTTCTTTTCAATAAATAATAATTTCTTTTTCTTATATATACGTTTGAATATGATAAACAATAATATTCAATAAAGAAGAATATTATATTGTCTAACACATTCTCTAAACCTAACTAGACTTACCTGATGTCTTTTAACAAAATAAATAATTTCTTTTTTCTTATCTATTTTCTCAAAATGCAGTTTTCACTAGGGTCACCAATTTATTAGCATAACTTCACCATTAAACCCAATATCAGCATGAAATTTAGTACACTTGTCGATATTACACTCTTCCATAGCTTGAATTTGAAAAAAATTCAAAAATCTTTACGAATTGTCTTGTTATGAGTCTAATTACCACTAACTAAGGCATTAATTAAAATTAACTGCTCATAGCTCCTTAACATTGCAGAAAATTTGCAGAGTTTTTAATTCAAGCTATGAGGATGTTCACAAAAAGCATGTGTATCAATTCTCCCAGGTGGTTTTTATCATTCCTAAGTAAAGTTATGGTGTTAAGATAGTTTATGTTACGCATTTCTTTATCCCTGCCACATTAATTATGCATATGGCATATATAACTAAAAGTGTACTTTCAGAAATTGCCACATCATACTTTTTTGTGGTCAACTTGAAGGATATAAGAAGTGTTTAACAGTGTTTCCTCAGCATTCAAATTTGTCCAGCTTTAAGGGTCAGTGCTATCTTAAAACAAATACAATCTAATTCTAAAAATATTTAGATCTATAGTTTTATCCAAAGTCTTCTGAGCTTCTAATCATCTTCTCATGAAAATATAAACTAATTCTCACATCACTTTATTCACTCTACATTCACAACAATAGTTTATAACATGTTCTATCCTATGGTATTAAAACTTTGCCTGTAGCTCTTTTAAAAAGTTGATTTTCATTAGTAGTGTTCACATCTCATGTTGTGAGTTCATAAAAGGGAATGAGGGAGAGAAGCCATACAAATAAAATCAGAGGAAAGGATAGTAAATCATGTGTGAAACAAAACCTTGAGTATTATATTCCAAAGGAATGATATTTTGTTAAAAAGTATAAGTTTATGCTCTGTGATTGTCACAAAAATCAATAAGCGTGCTGTTTACAAGAGAGACTCTTCAGAACAGTACAGAAATGTAAGCTTGAACATTTTTTCATTTCGTTTGCAAGTTACACTAAATAAATGTTACAAAATGACAAGATATCAATTACAAGAAATTTCTTGGTAAAAAAAATTGCTGAAACAGCTAGTTATTATTTTTACTTAAATTTTGAAATTTGATATGCAGGTATGCACTCAATACATCAAAGGTGCTTAACAACATGGATAGGGTTAATAGTTTGTAAGTACAGGTATGTATTAATGAATCAAATTTTAATAAGTAAAAGAATGAAGCAATGTTTTTAAATCATTAAATATACAGAAACTACATATAGGTTAGATCATGGAAAAAAAGTTCCTCCATGAACTAAAATCCAGATTTTTTCTGCACCTTAAATATTTATCTACTTTCATGTTATATGAAAATTCCAAACATAAATAGCACCTTAAGTGAAACATGGCTAAACAGCCAAATCAGATACCCAAAGGTTCAGTCACTACAGTCCCTACTTTAGAACTGCTAACCAAAAGGAGGATAACAAGTCAGCAGTTCCCACTGCCTACATGACTACTTTTAACCAAATAGTATGTTTGACCACCACTTTTCTAATATGTACACAAATGAAAGTATAGAACATGTTTAGCAGCATATTGCAAGTTAAAACTCAGATCTTTTAATCCACAGCCCATAACTACATTATTTATATTCTTAGATATCACACTTCTCTCTTTTATACACACTATATTTGTTTATGACTTTTAACTATATTTAATGACTGAAACATCTTATAAATCAGTGTCATCATACAAGTGCATTGCACTGGTCTAATCAAACTTTTTACCAGTAAATTAAGGTGTTTTATCAAATAAGTAATATATAAATATATTAGATACTATTTAACAAGTTTTTAGAAATCCTCCGTAGAAGAGAAGTTAACTTAATCCTGATTCCTGGACCAGTCAGCTATATCTGTATCAAATTTCTTTTATCATATCTTAGTGTCTAAAGGCATCAACAAGACATAGCCTATTTTGATAATTACATGAGAGTACTGTGTTATATACATGTAGATATTAAACTACTTAAAAGTTTTTCTAAATCAATATTTTGCTAACTTTACTACATAGAAAACTACAACAATTAAAACCCAGAATATCAATCATGAACACAACACTGACATATTGCAACTAGTACAGTATCATAAAAGTTCCACCATATTCCCTAGCCCAATGGAAAAAAACAATAACAAATACTAAGAATATATCACTAATGCTTCATGGTAATACTCACTATACCACACTTTTTTTTGCTACTACATACAAAAAAAACATAGAAATTTTTACCATCATAAAATTATTTTGCATGCCAAATTTCTAGATTTATGGTTTTCTACACTTATACATATTCAATGTTCATGGAGATTTTTGTATCACTGATCACAGGAGGTGATAAAACTTAATAATGGTTAAAATTACAGACTTTACAATCTCAAAGTTCTTGCATTATAACAGTAGAAATATTTCCAACAAAGATTCTGAGAAAACATACAATGATCAATTTTACTTATATATATATATATATATATATGACAAATTAAGAAAAGATATGCAATGTTTCCTCTCCAAATTAGGTTTCACAAAAAATATTTATCCAAAACAAAGATAAAAAAAATTAGTCACACAGTATGATTTGCAATTAACTTTAATAATTTTAAACGTATTACAGTAATGTTTAATAATAAAAATTTAAGTAGAAAAAAATATATTGAAAATTAGTAAACTTCAACCCTGACCTGTTTTGCCTGGGGTGCACAGAGCCACAGCTGTCCATCTTTCAACAAGAACCTGTCATCAAATTATAAAATAGCAAATTACACAATAACTTTTTTCTGTAAAGAATAATAATGTAAAATGCACATGTTGTTGAAGCATGTTTATGTTAAACTACAAACTGTGTAATTTATTTTATCATTTTTAAAAGAAACAACAAGAGAATGTTACAAGAAAAGTCTGAGAAAAACATACAGTAACTGATGCCAAGCTCATTGCCCAAATATTAATCATTTCTTTTACAATAACTTTAAGCCATAAGCCTAAAATCAGTATATCAAAATTGGGTTCAAAAGACAAAGGCAAAGATATTTTTTTTAAATGTGCTGCCTAGTGGTAGAATAAATTAGCAAACACACAAAAACCTAAAAACTAGTTATTTTTCTCCCAATAAATAACTCACCTAAGAAAGTTGAGCCGTTCTTGGACTTGCTGCACATGAGTATAGCGACTATCTAGAGAAAGTGCATTGGGATCAAGTTCTGGATATTCTGAAAAACAAAGTTTTATAGTGCTTCATTTTGGAAACAACCAGTCTAAAAGAAATCTTTTAACAGTTAGACCAAAACAAAACCACTTCTGAAAATTCTAGAAGCAATTCCAAAATGTACCATACTGTAAGTTACAGCCTAATAATTTCTTACAGGATATTCACCTTTTGCACTCTTTCATTAATGACCCTGAAGAATTAAATGTAAAAATTTCTTTTTGGGCCATTATTCAAATCTCGAGGTTTCTCGACTCTGCCTAAAATGTAGGCAAGTTACTCAAAATTATTCAACACTTTTTTTGAATTAAATGCACTTTAGAATCCTCTTAACAATTAAAAGTTATGAGGAAATAGCAGTTTTAACATTGGTCAGTCATAAATTGCACTTTAGAGAGGTTTTATGGAAATGAACAAAAAAAGAATATGAGCATAAACTACAGTAATACGATTTACACTAGAGGAATCTTCACTTTACCTCTATCAATGCTCCTGTTACATAATTTGTTATACTGCATTGCAAGAAACCCAAAACTACTGGATGAAATGGTTTGGAACTTCTGGAAATCTTTCTATAGGTTATGTATCTTTTTTTGATATATGATATTTGTATGAATATGCAGCATTGGAATTTTGAAAAGATTTCATTGTAATATGTTTTTTAACAAAATAATTAAAAATGCTTACTGATTTAGTTGTCTTCCTACATTATTTTAAAACTATAAAAATTTTATTTTATAAAACTGTAAATTATATCTGTTTTCATAAATAAAGTTTCACTGTATTATTCTTGGCCAAAAATAAAGATAATTAATTTACCAAATCAAAATTTTGAGAAAGCTCACTTTTTTTAAAACTGTTAACCAGAAGGTTTCATTTCATATATATAATAATAATTTTTAAACATGTTTTAAATCCATTGATATATTCCTCTTTCATAACACTTTTCAGTGATTTTCTTTGCCCATTTTAGGCCTTTTTTTATATCAATTCTTATCAGGCTAAATAATGGCAGTCTTATAAGTAAAACAAAACTTGCACCATGAAAAACAGTTTCCTACCATATTGCAACATCATAATTCAAATAAAGTATTAAAATAATAAAACAACCTTTTTTCCAAACTTAAAAAAAAAAAGATTTGTAATAATTGTGGCAAAAGTTTATAACAAACATTTTCTTCTACCAACATATCACTAAGCTAAGCTTTTACTACTTCATCCCAATCTATGTGCAAATTTATACTGAACTGGAAGCCAAACTGGCTTATACAGTTGAAAAACAAATGCTAAGAATTTTATTATGTGTTCAGATCACTACCCTAGGAATTCTCAAAGCTGAGGTATAGAATATTACATCACATTATGACAGCCAAGGTAACAATGACTGGCTAAAAGTCAATGAAACTGCATTTGTATTCAAGTAAAAAGGTTAAATTGTGTTCAAAACTATTACAACTTTTTTTCTAGGGGTTATGAGTGTCATATTTTGCTCAGAAAAAAATTCAGGAAATTTACAAACAATAATGATTTTGAATGGAACACTTTGAAATCAATCAAAAATTTTTGAATTTTTTTTCATTTGTATGTTTAAAATTAACAAAAAACTTTATTTTATTGAATAAATTTCAGCTCAGAAGTATTTTTAATGTGTGTAAGAACAAGTTTATTTTCTATATATTTTTTAATTCAGTAGTGAATTTTTCTCTTGAGGCAGAATGCACTCCTCTGGACAAAGCAGGAGTTAACAGCTTTCGACCAATAGTAACAGTTCTACTTACAAGTTAAGTAATTACAAAATATATATACATTGACTTTACACTTTACAGTCTTCAAACAAATCTATTCAACAACAATCTCATGAACACATTTTCTTATATGAACATGATAAGGCACATAAAATAAAACACCTGATGAAAAATATACAATGTGAAAGAAATATAAACATAATATAGAAAGTATGAGAATGCAGGTTTTATGATGAAGGTGTCTGGGTGTATTTCAAGAATCTCTAGGCAGTCTAATTGTGACAAGCTCTGATGATTCTGCAAGGGAAGCTTCAATAAGAAAATGTAACGCTCTGAAAATAGATGAAAGAACATACCACAAAAGTACATTTGGCAAGACTAAGGTAATTCAAGTAAAATGCCATAAAGTCACAGGGGGTGTTTAAAAGGTCAACAGAGACAGAATGTGATAAAAAAGCCCACTGAAAATCATCCTTAACTGTAAGGAAGTTCTCAACATCAGAATTATAACCAATATGAGACATAATGACATAGATTATTACTAAACCTCAAACAAATAAACAACCTGTGATGAGAACCACGAAATGTCAAAACATCGGTTTTTAAATATTGGTATGTAATGATGATCATGATTTACAAAATAAGGAAAATGCCTGAAACATTTTCCCCCCCAAACTTAAAATGTGTGTGTGTGTGTGTGTGTGTGTGTGTGTGTGTATATATATATATATATATATATAATAAGTACTATTAACTTAAACCACCTACTACGTTGTTACGTAAGAAAAAGTAAAAAATATTAGTTAGGTAAGTTAAAAAGTAAAAAAACTAATAGTATATATT